AGCCCCAGAAACATCTCTGCTCTACATGTACAGGCTCAGCTCTACAGGCTGTCTCAAAGTCTGAGTGAAGTCTCTCTCTCACACACACACACACAGACACACACAGAGATGTACCCAGACCTTTAATAACTCACACCTCCCATCTACCTGTATTTGCCTGTGGGCAGCAGAACCACCTGAGGGGCGGCTCCAATTCTCCCGCTGGCTCAACGAATGGGTTGCCCACTGCCATTTCAATTGCTATCCCTACAGGGGGAAAAAATGACTTGCAAGGTGTGTTTGTTTCATTTTGTTTATTTATTTATTTATTTGAGAAAGGAAAAGCCTACTACTGAGATAGGCTTAGATCCTCTTCTTTGAAAGAAAAACAGGGAAGAAAGAAAATGAAAGATAATAATCTCAGCTCTAGCCCAGAGTTAGCTATCCATCACACACACACACAAATTCCAGCATGAGTCCTTGTTCCTCACAACAAAGCATGATTATACTTATCTGTGATACTCCAACAGACTCCCTTCTGGTTTTGATTTTTTTTTCTCATTGTTGTTGTTGTTGTTGAGGGTTTTCATACTGAAAGTGGTCAGGCAGCAACCTGGACAATCTGGGTCGCAACCTGAATCTTGTGTGTCCGTAGGACTCTGACCGTTGCTCGATTAACCTACGTCACCAACAGAGTTCGCCAGAAGCAGCTAAATGGCAAAAGTTACTTTGAGCGCTGTCCCTCCAGCACGCCGTCCTCACACGCCAAATACAAAAAAGTGACTGTGCAGCATTTCAAACTAAGTAAGAGATGACTGGAAACTACCATTTAATATGGTGAACTATCCATTAGCAATGGATGGTGGCTCTTTCCTATGTTTGATACAGAATAGACAATCTGAATTGTTGACCAGTTTTCTCCATTATTTCCCCCACTCACACTTCTGTAGGATTATGCACTGATGTGAAGCATCAAGTTGACAGGACAGGATGGAGAATGTTCAGTCTCCAAGTTGCTGAGACTACAATGTGCCTCACCCCTAGCCAGCATAGCCTGTGTCTAGAAACAATAGGAGTTGCAGGTGAACAATCTCCATTCCTGATGCTGGGATTCACAATGGGAGAGCGAGAGAGGGAGGACAAAGTGACATGCAAGTTTTCGGGATTAATACATCCCTTCACCATGCAAAGGACTTCAGTCTCTGTATAACTGATATTTATCTTACAGAATCCAGTCATCTGAAATGCAAGTTTCCATTCCATCAAACCATAGAACGACAAAGCTGGGAGGCACAGCCCCACCTCATGCCAAAGCATAACTATCCGATAACTAAAGCAAGGTGGACACCCAATCTCTATGCAAAAACCTTCACTTAAGTACAATTCCCCACCTTCCCACGTGGTAGGGTGGGTGGTCACAAAGCAAAACCTGGTTGGTCCAAAAGGACCTATTGTCTCTCCTGCTTGAGCTAGCATCAAGAACGCAAAGGTAAGCTTCTTTTTCAAATACAGCAGAGGGAAAGGATAAGGAAGACCCCACGTATCATCCATTATTTTCTTCCACTTTTATGATCCCCAGGTAACAACTCTGGACCATTTCACCCCGAAAAGCTTAAAACTGCAGTTGCATTAAGGTAAAACAGAATTCATGAGACATGCAATGGGGGTGGCTAGGACAAAAGCAGTCTTACAATAAATTCCCCCCACAAGGTGATTTATAAACACAGAAATAATAATTATTTGCCACACAAAGAGAGGAAGGTCATGTGGCATAATGGTTAAGTAGAAGTCATCAACCTGATATATATAAAATGTATTCATGATAGCCACAGACCAAGACATCTAGAGTACACCAGGTTGGGAAAGATGGGTGTCTGGGTATATTAATGTGTGACACAAATATAAACACAAACATAGACACATGTTCTCTCTCACACACACACGCACACGGTAGACTTTTTCAGTCGTTGCTTCCGAGGTCTAAGATTCACAATCAGGGGAGGCTAGGCTGGACCCCTCCCTGTAGTCCTTCCACCAGCAGGCAAGGATATTTAATTCAGGAAGTCTATGGGTTCAGATTTATGGGTAATTATTTTAACCCAACTCCGGGAGGCAGTAGAAGACAGAGGGGCTGGCATGCTCTGGTCCGTGGGGTCACGAAGAGTCGGACACGACTAAACGACTAAACAACAACAAAAAAGCTGGCATGGTGTAGTAGAAAGAGTGACAGCCAAGGACTTGGGATCTGGGTTTGAATCCTCATTCAGTCATGGAAACTCTCAGGGAGATGCCAATGGTACAACAACTCGTTAAATAACTCGCTTACCTTGGAAACCTTATGAGAATTGCTTTATGTCAACTGTGGTTTGATGGCACATTACATAATGAAAGTAACTGCCTTATTGTCGACGGAAGGACTTGCAGTAGGATATTGTACTCTCTCACTTTTTAAATTTGTTTTATTCCTATTTCTTTTTGGTATAAATATATTTATTCCTTTATCTAAAGTTAAGTTTTCACTCAACCTTAAGCCATTTTGTGTCCCAGAAGAGGCACTTTATCTGGCTTTAGAAGGGTTCCCTTAAACCCAAGGTCCTGCCCTGACACTTCACTTGATAGAGAAAACAGGACCCTTTCAGAGATTTACCTTTTTACACAGTCTGCATCACGCATGCCAGAATGACTTTGCTGTCGAAAACTGTCTCCATTTGCATGTGGCCACTGATGTCATTCGAGCCACATGGGAAATGGAACCACGCTTCATTTTTTGTTTGCTTGTTAAATAACAGTTAACAGTATCTATCCCTCTGCCAAGAAAAACAGTGAAACAAGAAGGCGCAAACTTGTCGGCACTCGTGCGTGTTTACATGCCGGCGAGCAGGTCCACGTGCGTACCTGCATGCTGGCGAGGTGCAAGGGTCGTTATCGTCCTGTGCGTTTGGAAACAGCCAGGCAAGCTCACTCAAGCTATGCTTGCCAATGTTGATTCAAAACCAACCAAAAACTCCTGTTCCCTTGTCCTCCGCTTCCAGTGTGCGCACCTGCGTCCCTGGTGGGTAAAGAAGCGCCTTCCAAAGCCAAACAAGGAGAGGGAAGAAATACCAGCAATGGCAGGGAACCCATCTCCTTCAAGCAGAACACAAAGAAGGGGGGGCCTTCCTTATACCAGGTAGGCAACATCTTCCGAGGATGCAGGTTAAGGCAACACGAGTGGTTCCTGATGGCAAAGAACAATGGCACTCTACATCTTCTCTCCTGCCTCCGCTGACCAGAGGCAGCGTCAAGCAGCTATCGATGTCTAGCAAATAGCGGCCTATTTTCAGTAGGGAGAAGTTAAGACTCCAATTCCCGACTCTGTCCTTCCCGCCTGCAAAGGCTAAGAGTGCCCCCTGCAGGCAAGATGGAGGAGGGCGAGCAGCTTGCGTGCAAGCCACACTTTTATTCAAAAAAAGGAGTCAGGTGCAAAACGCTGCACGAGAAGAGCGCAAGGGGATCTTGAAATGGAGAGCCGGAGCAGAGAGGTAAAAGGAGAGAAAGGATGCAGAATACTTCCTCCATGTGACCATCATTCACATCTGGATTTGTAGAAAGCAATGTTGGAAAAAGCACTCTCTTTTTTCAAACAGTTTTTTTTAAAAAAAATAAACACCACGGTCTCACTGTTGGGTCTGCACTTCTGATGGAAAACTGGTCACAGAGGAAGACCCAAACTTCCAAGGAGGGCTATGTACTGTTCTTTAACTTTTAATTATTAGGAATATAAGAAGCTGCCATGCCTGGCCCACTTTCGATGACAATGACTTGCAACTCCTTGCCAGGATTTCAGGCGGGCTTCTTCCTAGTCCATTGTGAAGATGCCAGGATTGAACCCGAGACCTTCTGCATACAAGAAATGTCCTCCCCCCCCCACAACCAGGATGCAGATCCCTCACATATAGTCCTCCATCCAATTACTGACCAAGCCAGCTTTGCCTCAGAAACTAGTCTAGATAAAATCATAGAATAACTGAATTGGAAGGGGCCTCTAAGGCCATCCGGTCCAGCCCCCTGCTCAAGGCAGGAATACCATCAAAGCAGATCTGACAGATGGTTGTCCGATTTTTTTCTTGACCGCCTCCAACGTTGGAGCATTTTCCACCTCCTGAGGTCATTGGTTCCATTGTCGTATTGCTCTAACAGTTAATAAGCTTTTTCTGCTATTCAGACTACATCTGGCTTCCTGTAGCCTGAGCCCATTATTATGTGTCCTGCACTCTGGGATGATTGAGAACAGATCCTGACCCTCTGAACGACAGTCTTTCAAGTACAGTGATGCCTCGCTTGACGAGGATAATTTGTACCGTTGAAATTGCTGTTAAGCAAAATCCTCATCAAGCGAAACGAAAAAGCCCCATTGAAATGCATTGGAACCGGGTCAATGCATTCCAATGGGCTAAATACCTCAGCGTTCAGCGAAGATCCTCCATAGGACGGCTATTTTCGGTGCCAGTAAAGCGAGGAATCAGTCCTGAAAACACAGCGGGGAGCCATTTTGCACAGCAGGCAGCCATTTTGGAGCCGCCAATCAGCTCTTTCAAAATTGACGTTTAGCGAAAAACTGGTTCCCGAAACAGGGAACCGATCATTGTTAAGCGAATTTTTACCATTAAAACATCATTTTGTGATCGCAAAAGTGATCACAAAAACTTCATTGTAAAGTGGTTTTGTCATTTAACGAGGTAATCGTTAAGCGAGGCACCACTGTATATGAAGAGTGCTGTCCTATCTCCCCACAGTCTTCTTTTGTTAAGGCTAAACATGCCCAGTTCCTTCAGTCTTTCCTCATAGGGCTTGGTTTCCATTTTCTGGCTCATTCTGGTTGCCCTTCTCTCATCTAGCACATTCAGCTGCTACGGGGAACTATTAACACATATGAGCTTTGGCATCTTTCAGCACGCAAAACAACATTGTGTGACTAAGACACTAGAAGTCACATTTTGCGTTGCTTGCAAGTCTAGAGACTGTGCCGTGTTGCAGCTTACCTGAACAGCTCTCTGATCTCTTTCACCGTTGCCTGGAAGGGGATGTTGCGCACCAAAATCTTAGAGGTCTTTTGCTTCTTACTCGTTTGCTTCTTGCGGGCAGAAGTGACTGGCGACCTGGTTGGCCCAAAGACAGACAAACACACAGAGAGAGACAGGTGAAGATCACAACAGAGCACCAAGGCAATGACGTTGTTTCACGGGGGCAGACACAGGCTGAGGACAAGAGCAGCTTGTCGTGGCCAGGCGACACTTCTCGTATATGGGCAGCAATAAAGGGAATAATGAGATCGGCCTTTCCCATTCTGGTTCCCTCTGGATGTATTGGACTACAAACTCCATCGCTGCAGCCAATATGGCATGTGCTGGCTGGGGAGGATGAGAGCTGTAATCAGAAAACATCTGGAAGGCACCAAAGTTGTCCAACGTCACCTTCCCTTTTAGAACAAAGGCGCATGTCCAATTTCAACGGACAAATCTGTGCACAGCAGAACACAGGGAAAAGATTCTGTGAATATCTCAGGACAGTTTTTCATGCTTTAGCCCTTGGTATCAATCTCGGCTTCTCTTTCACAGAAATGGCTGAAGCTGCCTGCAGTTCATGAAAGCTTATGCCAAATAAATCTCTTTCATCTTTAAGGTGCCACAAGGCCCTTTTGATGTCTTGGCTAGAACAGCTGGTTGTGGAAGCCGCCCTGTCAACAGAAAGAGGTGGCTCTCTGCAGTGTCCGTGTTACTGATCAGAGCTGGTAAAAAGTGCCTTGCTTAGCTAGATGATTCTGGGAGATGATGCGAAAAAGAACACCATCAAGTGGGAGAATCTCTGGCCACTGTCACTCATTGTTCAGGAGAGCAAGTGTATTGCTACCCCCCCCCCCGGCAAAAACATTGCTTGACAGGCAGCAAGCTTCCTGGGTTGTATCATCACGTGTGGCCTCACACACATAGTCCCCGAGACTGTAAAACAGACTTTTGGGCTCAGTAAGCCTGTGCTGCAGGGTCAGAAGACCGAGCAGTCGTAAGATCGAATCCACGCGACGGAGTGAGCGCCCGTTGCTTGTTCCAGCTCCCGCCAACCTAGCGGTTCGAAGCACGCAAATGCGAGTAGATAAATAGGGACCACCTCGGTGGGAAGGTAACAGCGTTCCGTGTCTAAGTCGCACTGGCCATGTGACCACGGAAGATTGTCTTCGGACAAAACGCTGGCTCTATGGGTTGGAAACGGGGATGAGCACCGCCCCCTAGAGTCGGACACGACTGGACAAAAATTGTCAAGGGGAACCTTTACCTTTACCTAAGACTAGGAAAAGGGGCCATCACGAGTTCAAGAGGATGAGAAACTTACTTGATGGCTCTTTCAGAGATCTTGACTTCCAGTTGATGGCCATCAACAGTGCGTCCCTATGGAAAACAAAACACGGCTGAAGGAAACACAAGAGGGCCTTTTAAATGGACACGCGCAGAGAAATTTACACCAATGTTTATATTTTTCTCCATACTGAATTATATTATTATTGTTGCTTTTTATTTTATTATACTGTTTTTATTCGATTTTTATTGTTAGCCGCCCAGAGTAGACATGTGTCTAGATGGGTGAGGTGTAAAATTAATAAATAAAGTAAATAATAAAGTGCTCCAAATTCACTGGGTGACAATTGCCCATTTTAAAGATCGCAGTATAGGCCACGATCAGCACACGTAAAAGAGCTGGGCAGGGAAAAACGAGACCTGACACGGCTGGAGAGAGCTCAAGAAGGACACCACCTACAGCCCCGTGTCCTGTCCCTGGGATATCCAGGCAGAACCAGAGGAACTCCTGAAGACTTGGTGCCCATCAGCCAACATTATGGGGATGGGTGGACTAAAGGTCTGTCTCCGTAGAAGACAGCCTCCCATGTTCCTTGCTGTAAGCAAAACGTGATATACAGTAGTACCCCCCATATGCACAGGATCGATATCCACTGATTCACTGATTCACTTAAGGTAAGAAAAAAATTTAAAAATATTAAAAGAACAATCCCAAAAATAAACATTTCAACCGACGAAGTTACCAGAACTTGCTACTAGAGGGAGCCAGGGAACACACTCTGCATTGTTTGATAGAGAATTAGATTTCCATGTCTTTACCAGAGCTGGCCACCAGGGGGAGCCAGTGATCATGCTAGGAGTATAGTGTTCGTTAACTTAATAGTGTTTGCTATAATCCTCATTTTTCAGTCCCTGCCAGGGGAGGGGTACTAATGGGGAAAAGTTTTAGTACAGTGGTGCCTCGCTTAGCGATGTTAATCCATGCAGCAAAAATTGCTGCTAAGCGATTTCATCGCTAAGCGATATTAAAAAGCCCATAGAAATGCATTAAAACCTGATTAATGTGTTCCTATGGGCTAAAAACTAACCTTAAAGTGAAGATCCTCCATAGGGGCGGCCATTTTCAGTGCCTCTAAAGCGAGGCAAAACAGCGGGCGGCCATTTGGAAACCGCCGATCAGCTGGCCGAAAATGGGGGCTTTGCGATGATCGCTTCCCTGCGATCATCGCAAAGCGAAGTTTTCCCATAGGGACCATTGCAAAGCGATCGCTCTTGCGATGGCAAAAAGTCCATCGCAAAGCGATTTCATCGCTATACGGAGTGATCGCTATGTGAGGCACCACTGTATTTTCTTTTCAGTTTTGAGTTCTTCCGCATACAAGTCCTTCTGGACATGAATAGTAGGGCTTTCCCATGGCGTTTTTGGAAGCCCCGAATGCCCATCAGGTCCTACTTGACCCTGGTTTTTGTTGAGAAATCCTGGCCTGGGAAGTAAATAACGAGGACCCATTCCAGATAAAGATGTATCTGGCCTTTACGCTGAATTAGGTTATTTGTTTCTGTTCCCCTACATTGCTTACTTTGACTGGCAGGCTCTTATTAAGAGAGGAAGGCCCTCCCCATCATCCACAGTCTGATGGACCAGGAGCTTGGAAATGTCACACTTTTGCACTGTTTGACAAAAGTAATGTTTCCAAACTCAGCCTGCTCCCTGGTCCTTTCATCGGAAGGTGTCAGGGACTTAATCCAGGCCTGTCTTCAAGCAAAGCAACATTATTCTCCTGAGCTCCCCTCTCCCCTCTTGCAGATGAACTCAGAGGGCCCCAGCTTTACCTGCAGCTGCTTGAGGGCTTTCTGTGCATGTTCCGGTTTCTTATACTCTACAAATCCAAAGCCCATGGAGAGGAGTGTACCTACAAAACAAGAACTTCCTTGGTGAGAAGGCCTTGGGAGGGAGAGGAAAGAAGTGATTTCGGTTGGATCGCAGCTCCCAGAACCCCCGTCCGTGGCCATGACATCTGCGGGGTTTGGGGAAATTGCAGTCTAAAAAGTAACTTTTGCAAGGAACTTTTTAGGTCACAGGAACACAGGAAGCTATGCGATAACAGGGAATGCCATTGTTCCATCTCTTCTGCTACTGTTTCTGCCAGGGGAGGGAACCTCGGCTCCTGGAGCCGAATGCAGTCCTCCCGGCAAGACCCGATCCAGCCTACCCAGGTTCCCCCAGAAAGCCACCCCATTTCACCAGGATACCACCATTCTGATGTTTTCCCACGTCTATATGTCCCTCCCCACATTCCAGAAGTTGAAACACCTCTAAGGCTTCATTACTGGCACTAAGAGCTTTAAGCTCAAAAATGCAACTAGGTTTCATGCCACCCTTTCATTTTCTTGATTTACAACAAGGTCGCCCTCCTCCCGTGTTGTATGCTCACAACGACCCTGTGAGGTTGGTGGGAGGGAGGGAGAGGGAGAGAGTGAGAGAGAATATACCGGCGTTGTCTTTCTTCTTGGAGACAGTGCAGCTCTTTACCGCTCCCATTTTCGAAAAAACCTGGAACAGAGAAATACAGTTGCATATGCACTTCTTTTCTCTCATTGCAAACTTTCAGTTTCATAAGCTGAGGATCCACTCCTGCTTGGGAGCAGGCGAAGAACAATAGCCAGAATCACTGAAAGTGAACTGTTACGATTTTATTTTTTTTAAAAAAAAAAAACACCAAACCTTACATTCAGCTTGTTTGGTCTGGTATTACGCACATTTCCTGGCAGCTGCTTGATAATGTATCTAGAAAGGTACACCTTTAAATGTGCTGCAGGGGTGCCGAGAGAAAAGTGCATCCAGCCTCAAACAAATCAACCGTTTAGGCTGGACTACTGTAGCATTTCCAGATGGGTCTGCCTTCCGGGCAGTTTGGGAAAACGTGGGATGATACAGAGAGTGGTTTCCAGAGAGTGGGTGCTTATGGGGAAGGGGCATTCGGGCCATGAACCATCAATTGTGCATCAGCCACCCTGGGTTCCTGTTCATCGACAGCTAAATGTGGGCTCCTGATTTAGACCTTTAAAGCCCTAAAACAAGGGTGGGTGACAAGAAGGCCACAAGCGGATCCTGCTGTGAACCATAAATATGCTAAGTGTCATCGTTCTGGTTACAGAGGGAGAGGAAAAGCAGCGAGACACCTCTCCGTGGTGTCCCTCACTCCGGAATCCGTTGCTCAGGCCCTTTCAGGAAAAGTAAAGAGGTGTGGAAGAGGAGGGAAAAAGCAGCGGCAGGAGAGGATGATGACAACGAGATGGTCTCCTCTCCTCCTTCTAAATGCCTTCTTCCTTTTGCATCATGTCTTCCTTTTTAGAATGTAAACCCCTAAGGGTGTCAAGGGTCTTGCAAGCTACGCTATATGCTCTTGGGAGCCTTACTTTTGGCTAAAGAGGGAGTCATAAATGCAATGGACGGGGAAGTCGTGAAGCATCAGCCACAGAGCTTACGGGAAGCAGGAAAGATAGAGGGAGGACACAGGGAGACAAAGTCCCACCTCTTTTAATGTCTCCTCCGTAGTGGAGAAATTGAGGTTCTTTATGAAGACTGTACAGCCTGGAATGCATTCTTCCTCTTCTTCATCATCATCACCATCATCATCCTTCTCCTTCTCCTCCTCCTCTGTTCTGGGTTTCCCTGTCTCCATTGGAGTTTCTTCATTTCCAGTATTGCCTGGGGGGAAAAAATAAATAAAAAAGGGCAGCTAAGAAGCAGCAGCCACCAATCTGCAGAATTTGCCAGGATTAAAAGAGGGCATTAGAGCAAACCAGCCTCAAAGAACACGGGGCGAATCCCAGTGAGAGCAGACTTTTTGAATCAGTGAGAGTTCTTCAAACATTGACAGAGCAAGTTCTACTGACTCACAGATGGACTCTAGCCGAGACTCATAATCTGGACAAAGCATCATTTTGGGAAGCCTGAAATCTTCCTGCTGGCACCCTAGAGCACTCCCTTTCTCCTTCCACACCACAGTGTAAAATGGGTCACAGAGTTGTGAAGAGGAAGAAAGCATAGCAAACCAAAGGCTTACACTGATTTATATATTTGTTCATCTAGGGCACATGGTTAAATGGTAATGGCATCATTTCCATTCCCAGTTCCACAAAGCTTCTGCTCCTCCTGTTCGCAAGACAAATAAAATGTGTCTTAGCTTTCCAGTCAATTTTCAAGAGCTTTTTGGTTAACAGGCACTCATGAAAAAAATAGGAAAAGAAGAACCACCAACAATGTCCTTATTCATGTTGGTGCAACGAGAATGGCTCCCTCTGTCTTGGAACATCTTCCCCTCTCTTTCCAGGATTCCTGCTTTCAACTGAGACACTGACAAGCCCAGTACAGTGGTGCTTCACTTAAAGAGCACACCGTTTAACGACGAATCCGCATAGTGACGCGTTTTTTGCAATCTCTAATGTGATCGCATTGCGATGTTCGGTAAGCGTTTCGCTTACCGATCTTCACATTGTGATGTTTAAAAAACAGCTGATTGGCGGTTCCAAAATGGCCGCCGGGTGCAGAAAATGGCCGCCCGCTGCGTTTTCACGCCCTGCCCTCGCTTACCGAGGCGGCAAAAATGGTGGCCGGATGGGGAATCTTCGCTTAGTGGTGAGTTTCCCCCCCCCATAGGAACGCATTAAACGGAGTTTAATGCGTTCCTATGGGGTTTTATGTTCCGTATAGTGATGTTTCCGGATAGCGACGTTAATCCTGGAACGGATTAACGTCGCTATGCGGGGCACCACTGTATTCTCTAACACATTATTGGCACCCCCAAACATTTCTGCAGCATTCCCCCCTTTTCAGTTTTTGAGAAAATACCCATCTTCCCAGCTATTTTTATTCAACAACAACAACACTTGCACAGATTACAAAATTAAACATGATAGAGTGGCGAAATTAGTGCACTGGTCATTACGCAATTTTTTTTAACTTGCCAGCCTCCAAAAACCCATGGGAACATCAGGTAGAGAAGGTATCAGCAAATGAGGAAGTGGAAGACCTGTGGGATTTCCGGATCCAAAAGAACAGACACCTTGAACATAACACACCAGACATTGTAGTAGTAGAATGAAGAAATACTTGGATCATTGGCATTGCAATTCCAGGGGGATGCCAGAGTAGAAAAGAAAGAATTGCAAAAACTGACAAAGTACAGAGACCTGGCAATCAAAACATCTTGCTTGTGGATGAAGCACACTTCAGTGGCCCCCGTAGTGATCGGGGCTTTGGGAACAATATGAAGAAATTTCACACAGTACTATAAGCAGTTACAGATCTCAGAAATGACACCACCAGAGCTACAAAAATGGCAATATTAGCAACTGCATACTGTGTGATATTTAACAGACACTTAGGCTTTTGGTTACAGCTTGTATCTGTTATATAATGCCAGTCAATGTGTTTATAGTTCTGATTGACTGTGCCTGGTGTTTTTTTAAACAACAATAGTAGCCAAACACAAAGACTTACACACAGAGATTGAGTAGTTATGGCAAATGAAAACTAACGTTGTTCTACTTCTCACTGGTGTTTTAGGTGCAATATCAGAAGACCTAAAAATCCATCTTTGTACTCCTGGGGTAATGAGATCACTGCATATGGTTATTTTGCCTGGAATAACATATATTTGAAAGAAATACCTACACATATCCTCAGCGCTCAGGACTGAGCCAATCTTTAAGGAACTAAATACTTTCTTGGGCTCCATGATCACTGCAGAGGGTGACAGCAGCCACGAAATTAAAAGACACCTGCTTCTTGGGAGGAAAGCGATGACAAACCTTGACAGCATCTTAAAAAGCAGAGACATCACCTTGCCAACAAAAGTCCGAATAGTGAAAGCTATGTTTTTTCCTGTAGTGATGTATGGAAGCGAGAGCTGGACCATAAAGAAAGCTCACCGGCGAAGAACTGTTGCCTTTGAACTGTGGTGTTGGAGGAGGCTCTTGAGAGTCCCCTGGACTACAAAGAGAACAAACCTATCCATTCTGAAGGAAATCAACCCTGAGTGCTCACTGGAAGGACAGATCCTGAAGCTGAGGCTCCAGTACTTTGGCCACCTCATGAGAAGAAAAGACTCCTTGGAAAAGACCTTGATGTTGGAAAAGTGTGATGGCAAGAGGAGAAGGGGACGACCAGAGGATGCGATGGCCGGACAGTGTCATCGAAGCGACCAACATGAATTTCACCAGACTCCGGGAGGCAGTGGAAGACAGGAGGGCCTGGCGTGCTCTGGTCCATGGGGTCACGAAGAGTCGGACACGACTAAACGATGACGTATGATGGGAACAAGAGCAAACTCGTATTATAGCATTAAAAACATCTTGCACCCCTGCCCCTTAGAACTTCGTCACTCCCCTCCGTTTCAGAACCCCCGTTTGACATGGATGGGTAGCACGGGTCTTAGAAAAGAGCTTTTCCCAGCCGTCCCTGAAAATGCTGGGAATTGAAACCGTGACCTTCTGCATGGACAAGGAGGGACCAGCTACAGCAACATGCAACACCTCCCAAGCTGCAACTCCCCTCCCCTTTTTGTGTCTCCAGTATGCTGGAAGGATCGGCAAGAAAGAAGACTGACTGAAGAACAAACTGGGGAGAAGGGGAAAAGGGGGAAGAAGAATTAATCTTCTGCCCTCCTCTCCCCTTCGCCCCAAGACGGATTCCACACGTCCACCTTACAGCTTTGATTTGGAGAGACACGAAACAGACTATGCTTCCACAACAGTCACACACGGCACACTGGCGGTCCCAACGAGAGCAGGACTCCTGAATCAGAGAGGTTTATTGGTTGCGTAATGTTCCATTGAATGGGTTTACTCTAGTTGGCACTTGGAGTAGAGATTCCGGTGTTTCAGCTCAGAACAGCTATCCCTCCCCCTTTTTCTCCCCTAACCAGGCAAAATTTCACACTGCTGGCCTTCTCTAGCCAAATGCACATGTGTGTGTGTGTGTGTCTGCATGCACACACACACAAACCCCACACAGACGCACAAGCATGAAGCAGGATATTAACAAAGGAGAAAGATATTCGCTAGAGCCGTTGTTGGTTCTCAGGAAAAGAAACAAGATTAGAGCCCCAGGGAATGGTACCCAGGAATGGGGCGGGGGGGAGGGCCCCCTCCCTCCTCTGTAGCGTGCACAATAATAATAATAATAATAAAAGTCAGCTGCATGGAGCTCGTTTGTAATCAGGTGGAGGAATTTACTGCTGCTCCCCCTCCACCCCTGCTGGAATCTGGCGGCGAAGGCCCTTATCGGCGGTGAGCAGATTTCTGGGGCGCTCCAGTGCTTAAAGCCCTTTATCTGGAGGTGAAGGTCCCGGGTGTGGGAAAGAGAAAAACAGCCTGCCAGGGATCAGCACAGGGTGGGGGAGACATACAGTGCTTTGGCCCACTCCCTCCTCCTTTTCCATGATGTGCACAGACTATCCCCCCCCCCTGCAATGTTAAAACAAGATGCAGGCAAGTGGGAGAAAACACAATACCCAGGAAGTTGAGCTGCTAAAGCATCGCTAAAGCAAAAACCTTGAAATTACACACACAGAGGTCTACAGTAGCTGCTGGCTGTACAGTGGTGCCCCGCATAGCGACGTTAATCCGTTCCGGATTAATCGTCGCTATGCAGAAACATCGCTAAACGGAACAGAAAAAGCCATAGGAACGCGTTCAACTTTGTTTAATGCGTTCCTATGGGTCCCAAACTCACAGTTGCGCGAAGTTCCTCCATAGCGCCGCCATTTTTGCGCCCTCGGTAAGCGAGGGCAGGGTGCGAAAACACGTGGTGGCCATTTTGGGCACCTGGCGACCATTTTGGAACCGCCAATCAGCTGTTTAACTTACCAATCATCACAATGCAATGTTTTACCTATTCAGAACATCGCAATGTGATCGCATTAGCAATCTAAAAAAATAGATCGCTATGCGGATTCGTCGTTAAACGGTGCACTCGTTATGTGAGGCACCACTGTAGATTCATTTGTCCTTCCATCTGTGGCCTAGATCTCACCCAAGTAGTCACGGTGGTCTGGGGTTCAGCCCTTCAGGCTGCAGGTGGGGGGCTCACAGACCACGATATTCCTCTGTACCAAGGAGAGCCAAAATAGAGCAATAGTAAGAATGCTGTTCCCTGAGATGCTAATTTTCTGCATGCAAGGAATGCATGCATATTCACTGAATAATGTACTTATCCAGGACCTCAGCAAGACATTTTCCCCCCTATTCCAGGAGTGAAATACTTGTATTATGTACCTCTACAGCATGTGAAAATCTGATGGATAATCTGTAATGTTTTTCCTTGGCATGCTATTTTTGGGAGATGTATGTTTACCAGTAAGATTAGATCTCCCAAGGCTTCAGCCAAGTTCTTTCAACTCGCTCAAGATGGAACTCCTGCTGTATGATGATGACCTGGTGAGCCATTCATTCCGGCTGGAAAAGGTGATCTGCCTAAACGGGCAGGAAACAGACCCTGCAAATTCTTTTATTTTCTTTTATACGCTGCATTTCTGCTGCAACCTGGGACCCAAGGCTGCTTACATTGACCCAAATCCTACTGTGATTTCACAGAGGCAGAATGCAAATGGTGTAATTTTTGGAGAGGAATTGCCTCAAGGAAAGGAGTCAGTCGAGACCTCCATCTCTTGAATGCTGCGTTATGCAAAGTCAAGTCATGCAAAAAAAGTTGCAGTGTTTACGTTCTGCTTGCAAGGCCAAGCTGTAGGAATTTGCCCATGGTAGTTTAAAAACAGCTCCCCTAAAAACACGGTGCATTATAGACACCAATACACTTTTGAAATGAGTGCGAGTGGGACGGCTGTCGGCTGCGAGTAAGGGTTGCCCCCTCAGGGCCTCCCACATCCCTTTCAAGTGATCGTCTGAAGGAGGAGGGCGATGTATGGCACCCTTTGCCAGGGCACTGCCCAAAACATGGGATGAATCTTCACGCCAGGCCTCAACAGAGGCTGCAGAGGACTCAAAAGCTCCGGAGGGTGGGAAAGTGGGAGAACCTTCAGGAATGGGATAAAAATATACAAGAGACAGTCACGGAGGGAAAGGAGAGCGGAGAGGAAGAGAAGGGGGTAGACCAGTGGACAGAAGGTCTATAGCCCTCAGAGGTCCTCTAACATGATGGTTACATAGACGTCACCCCAGAGCGCCTTTCCAAAGGTCTCAAGGTTTCCACAGGCCCATGGCAGTTGGGTGACAGGCCTGTGAAGCTGGCCAGAAGCTTAACCTAGGTGCAGTGCTGCCCTGCTTTACGATTACCCCGCATTACGACGAATCCGCTTCACGATGACGTTTTTGCGCTTTTGCGATCACAAAATGATGGTCTAAAAAGGGTTTTTTCGCTTTGCGATGATTGGTTTCCTGCTTCGGGAACCGATTCATCGCAAAACAATGTTTTTTTAACAGGTGATTGGCGTTTTCAAAATGGCCACCGGGTAATTAAAATGGCCCCCCGATGTGTTTAGGGATGGATTCCTCGCTATACAGGCACTGAAAATGGCCGCCATATGGAGGATCTTCGCTGGACGGTGAGTTTTTAGCGCATTAGAACACACTGAATGGTTTTCAATGTGTTTCAATGGGCTTTTTATTTTCGCTTTACAATGTTTTTGCTTAACAGCGGTTGGGTGAGAGGCCTGTGAAACTGGCCAGAAGCTGAACCTACAGTAAGATGGTACTGGGCCCGTTCTGACAGACCCTAGCTTCAGCCCACCTGGGCCAATCCTGACTCTCACCCAGCTCCAGCACGGGTGGCAGGAATGCCAGTTCAAACGGCTGCGGCAGATTGAGCAAAACGTTTTGTGCCCAAGACGAACGAGAGGAAGCTCAAAGATGCTAAAGGACTCCGAAGTGATGGACTTTGGATTGGCCCAGCGGAGGGTGAAACTATAAGCCAACTCTGGCTAAACAGAATGAACCCGGGGAGTTTGAGGGTCCGGAAGCAGACGAGCCCATGAAGGCCTGCGGGCAGTTCCGTCTATCATTCCAGAATAAAGATCTAGTTTCCCACATTGACTGCTCTCCTGACCAGCCCCATGGGCTCCTTTGAAGCCCCCTTGTTCACGGAGGGCTCACAGGCACTGCCTATCATTCCAAAATAAAGATCTAGTTTCCCACATTGACTTGCTCTCCTGACCAGCCCCATGGGCCCCTTTGAAGCCCCCTTGTTCACGGAGGGCTTCGGTACCCACACAAACGTGTTACGGCATTGTAACACATTAAATTCAGAAGACTTTGCAAACATCTGGATTAAAACACTAATGATAATTTTGATTCAAAGTGAAAGATCAGCAGATCTGATTAAAATCTTGTCCTTAGCCGGCCAAAGGCCGGCCTGGATAAAAGGTTCCTACCTGTTGGCAGAAGAATAATGGCAGAATTTGGGGGGGGATGGGGGGTGTAGCCTAACTACCCTGAGCAAAGAGTGCCAAAAACAGAAACAGCCATTCACATGAGGGATCTAAATCTTTCATTTGTGGAACCAGAAAATTATTCTTTTCTTCCTGAAAGGAGGAGAATCATTTTGCAGTGGTTCGGACACAGAACAGCTTTTGTTTTTGATCATGGAAACTGCACAAATAACACATATTGGGCAAAACGAGGACTGCTGCCTTGTTGCACGGAAGGAAGAGAAGTAGCATGGGTGACTTGCATCTTTTTTAACCATCAATCAGTCATTTTGTTTCCTAAGAGAGTTTTGTTCAAGTTATGGAGACTCTGCCAAGGGGGGAAAAAACAGTGCTCGTTGTTTGATTTTTGCCTGCAGAAGAATCTTGAGATACTGGGAATGAGATCAATGAGAATGAAGAAGTTAGCTAAAATTCTTTACATCCCTACTACAGTTTGAAAGAACTTTACCCATGTCTCATTTATGACTGAGATATGCTGCCTAATCAGCGTGAAGCAGCCTGCTCAGGAGTCACAAACGTCCATTAGAGATCTTGCTTCCCGTCCAAAAGAAAGATATTCCATGTGGCTTCTTTTATCGTGCTTTACAGAATTTACATAAGATGTCTTTGTTTTCTTGTTTTTCTGCAGTGACGGGCACGCACAGCCAAGAGAGAGGGATGAACTGACTGCACAGGATGAACATAACTGCTTCGGTGCTCCTTCTTTTAAGCATAAAAGACAATAAGGCTAGGAAAAGTTGAAATCAGGAGGAAAAGAGGAAGACCAAAAATTGGATGAATTGACTCAATAAAAGAAGACATTCTGTAGGTTTGAGTTTACAAAAATTTACACGGGACATGTTGAAGCTGCCGTAAGTCAGAGGCAACTCAAATGCATGGGACAATAAACGTTAAGTGTCTGCACAACTAGCTAATTTCAAATGGTACATATTTAGAAATGCTCATGAAATCAATGTTGCCAATACATAATTTCTCCAAGAGTGGGAAGACAGCATCCTGTCCCCTTGCAGGCTCAAGAGGTTTCTTTTGTTTACCGCATAAGAACACATCTGGCCGGGATTTACAGACTTACGTAAAAGACACGTCTCAGATGCTTACCTGTCTGTGGAAGTCCTTCGCTTTCCTTCTTGTCTCCGGAGATCTCCGGCTCCTTCTTTCCAGTGCCAGAAAAGATCCCCATCGGTGCCCATTCAAGGTACAGAGGGAGATGCCGAAACTAAGACGCGGAAAGAAAACATCACTGGAGGTGCGACACCCCTTTGCAGATGGAGGGGGTTGAGACATTGTCCGGGAAGCCGGTGTGAGAAGTCTGCCCAACAGGGTCTCAGCTGCCCTTCTTACCTAGTGCATCGGGGTTTTCAAATACAATGCGGTGCCTGGAGTGGAGCGATCTGCAAGCCCCCCAGGCTTTTTTTGCAGCTCACCCACCTACCCTCGGAAAAATGGGTCATTTCAACCCTTGCAAGCCTTCAATAGCTGCAGCTTTGCAACAAGACAAGACACACCTACAACCACTGCAACCTACACAAAAAAAGGAAGCTGAAGTGGAACTTCAGCAATATTTGGTGCTGGTTTTCCTTATTTTTTGGCTCCTTTCCTGGGTTATTTAAGTGTCTGAGACTTTCCTGCTGGCAGTCAGAGTTTTAAGCTGCCACACTGATTTGTGTTTTGATCCAGAGGGGAAGTTGTCCACCTCTGGAACACAGCTGGCAAGGACCTCTCTGAAACTGGATTTGAGCCTTGGGCTGAGGGAGGCTGGCCAACCCTGGTACGCCCAGGAAGGCAGCCACTATGGGGAGCAAAGGCCTTTTTAAAAATATTGATTATTTACACCAACGTAAGTACAATGGTGCAAACTACATTGCCAGCGGCATAGATAACCAATAGGATTCTAGATGACACTAGGCCAGACTCTCTCATATCTGGTCCCCAAGAGACTATAAAAGTAAATACTAAATGCAAATAATACAATTGTTCTTCTATTACAGTGGTGCCTCGCAAGACGATTTTAATTCGTTCCGTGAAAATCATCGTCTTGTGAAAAAAAATCATCTTGCGAGGTTTGGTCTTGGGAAAAAAATTCTTGCGAAGCACGGCCATAGAAAAAACTGTCTTGCGAAGCACCATAGGGATCGCAAAAACCAATCGTCTTGCGGGTTTTTCGCCCCGCGAGGCAATCGTCTTGCGAGGCACCACTGTACTGCTGTTCTCTAAACAGGGTTCAATTTTCAAAGACTGGGTAAGGTACCAGGGGTCTGCAAGACACCCCCCCCAAAAAAACAGGCATGGAATTACTATAGCATTGAACTGAACCTGCCCCACAAGCCAAAACGATGCTCTTAGGCAGCAGCTTACTACCTTTGACAAGCTCAACGAACTTTGCTCTTTGCCCTCACCTTTGAGTAAGCCAACTTGGTGAAGGCCCGCTTAGCTTCCGTCGGCTCCAGAAACTCCACAATAGCTGTGACCCCTCCTTCCGGGAGAAGAACCCGGCCGAGGCTTCCATGAGCCCCAAAAACCTCCTCCATCTCCGATGCCGAAGTGCCAGCCGGGAGGTTCTTGGCCAGAATGACGGTTCTGCTCCTTTCGCCGGCAGCCTGGAGGAAGAGAGGAAGAAAAGGGACTTCACTGGTCTGCCAGACCAGTATCTCCTCACGTGTGACCTTCTCTGATTTTTGAGATCTTTGAGAAAGGGCTTTTGCATGCGCAAAGGGGGCATGCACACTCTCATGCATGCGCAAAGGGGGACATGCACACTCACACATGCATAAAGGGGGCATGCACACACTCACACATGCGCAAAGAAGGGCATGCACTCTCTCATGCATGCGCAAAGGGGCTGTGTAGGGGGAGTGCATGAGAGGGGGCTTGGGAGATCTGTCTCCACGGTCCGGTCCAGCCCAGGCCATGGACCGGCACCGGGCCACAGGTTGGGGACACCCTGCATTACATGGTGTACTTTGGCCACTACGTTGCTATGCTTGATGTGTGGTTTCCATGTTGTATCCCTCACAGAATCAAGAATAACTTCTCAAATTTCAGAACTGGAGAGGAAGAAGAATACGGCGCCACTGACAAGGAGGTCTCCAAAGCTCATAATCCTTACCTGGCTGAAGGAATCCAGACTGACCCCATTTTCTAGCAGGAACTGGCGCACTTTCTGAACAAGTTCTGTTTCCCCCAGAGCGACCCGCACGGCCACGCTGCCCTTCAGCTCCTGCCAAGTGAAAACCAAGTGTTGTTAATGTTACCCTGGCCATCAGAACAGCTTTCCCTCGGGTCCGGCCAGCGCTCTTGAGATCTGCTCCGGTGGAATTCCTCCACCACTGGCAGACACCAAAGGCATGGCCATCGCAGGAGCAGGCCGCCCCGGCGATGACATTCTCTCTGAAGAGATCTGCGCATGGTCACATAAACACAGATCTTTAATACAGCCTTAATACACGGAGACATGCCGTGTGTTAAATATGTAAGACACTTCAGTACACAAGAATAAGGCAGTAAAACAAAGATTGAAAGCGCAGAATATCAAGGATAAAACCACCACCACCACCAAATAAAATAGTTTGGTATAGAAAGCCAAATTCAAACTAGCAGCAAGATTGAAAAGTAGGGCTTTTGGAGAAACCCCAAATCACTGAATTGGCCCAATTTGCACTGACTTAACGTGCTATCCAGACTGAAGAAGAAGGACGAGACACAGTTCCAGGGCAACGTGAGGAGAATTTACAGACCAGTCTTGTGTCCAGAGCACAAAACAAATTGGATGGGGCACAAGCGAGTTCAGCCAATTCATTCTTTTTAGGGGGAGGGTTAGGGAATCAAACAAACCTGGAAGTGTTTGAATACCAAACACCTGAACTAGCTGTCTGAAATTTAGCAGATATGTCTCCCCTCTTTAGGGTCCAGGATGCCTCCAAATTTCATGTACTTCAATGCAAAATCAAAACAAGTACAGTGGTGCCTCGCTTGATGTTAATTCACTCCAGCGAAATCACTGTAGAGCGAAAACATCATCAAACAAACAAACAAAAAAAAAAACATTGAAACGCACTGAAAACCGTTCAGTGCATTCCAATGGGCTGAATACTTGCTCGTCTAGCGAAGATCCTCCATACGGCGGATGCCTGTAAAGCGAGGAATGCATCCAAGAAAACAGTGGGGGGCCATTTTCTTCAGCCAGCGGCCATTTTGAAACCCGACGATCGTAAAATGAAAATCGATTCCTGAAGCAGGGAACCGATCATCGTTAAACGAAAAAAACCCATTTTAACCATCGTTTTGCAATCGCAAAAACCTAATCGTACAGCAATTTCCTTGTTAAGCAAGGCAATCATTAAGCGAGGCACCACTGTATAGCTTTTTGATTTTCCAATAGAAGTCAACAGACAGGTTACATATCAGCTTAGATCTGGGACAAAAATCAAATCTGATGAGGCCAAAATCACTACAAAATTGGATCTATTCTGAAGCCCTAAATCAGAGACCAGCCCACAGAACCACTCAAAAGTTTTAAAATCTTTGCCTTTCTCGTAGCTAATTCATAATGGTATGTTGCTAAACGATGTGCTGTTCTCTCTGTGTGAGACAGTTTCAACCGTCGTTTTCGGGCTAATTTGGAAGTGCTCTTAGGTAGCAATCTAAGAATCAAAACCACCACAGTATGAAAAGACCACATCAAATAACATAAGAACAAAGAGCAGCAGAACAGGCAGAGACGCCAAACGTGGCAATGAAGTAATAAACTTAGGAAAAAGAAAATGAACTTTAGAAGACGACACAACAGAATTGGCTGAAAAGAAAGCAAAGAACTTACGTGATCCAACACTTGACTCTTTGGGGCACCGTACTTCTCCGCAACAGCCTCTGCCACGGCGTTCACCCCCATGAACAAGGTGTTCCAGTTGTGAGAGCTAGAGGGGGGAAGAAGGATGATGACCGCCGGCCAACAGGCGCAAGACAACAAGACCGACCACAGATCCCTTCTTAGCTCAGATCTCATATCAGCCAGGAAGTGACCTGACAGCAGGGATGGGAACCCATTTAGACTACAGTGGCCACAAGCCCCTTGTGATTTGGCCATGCTGTGGCTGGAGGGGGGGGGAGCAGTGCTGATGGCAGCTGCTGGTCGAACCAGTTGGAGGACCAAGAAGTGACACAGAAACCACCAGGCTCAGTGTTACATTTAGACTAACTGTCTAGTTGCCAATCCACTGAGTGGGCTTCCATACAAGGGGAACTCATAGAAGACAAGACATTGGTGGAAGACACTCCCTTTGCTGGCTTGCTTAGCTTTGTGCTAGTCATAGAAAAGGTTAAGTATAGACTATATCGGTCCCTCCTCTATGAGAAGCATGTAAATACAGGCTCCTAGCCACTTCTGCCCATATTCTTTTGTTTTGACTTTGTGTTTTGTTTTGGAGCCAGAGACAGGAGACAATGACCCTCTAGATGTTGTGAACTTAACTCCCATGGTCCTTCCCAACAGGAACGCTGGTTTGGCAGACAGAAGCTGCAGCTCGTAAGCATCGGGAGGGCTCCCCATTCTCCATCTCTAACTAAACAAAGATGGGTTGAAGCCATCTTAGGCATCACCTGGGAAACCCACCTAGCTGCACTCCACCTCTTCTCCTTAGAAGAATCTCCCCGCTACTCTGTCCAGACCATTTTTTTTACAAGCCCCAAAAGAACGCTGCATCTCCTGAGCACAAACCTGGAACTGTTCGCTTTATCTTTGGATGCCTTTTGCTTCTTATAGGATGAGGACCCCGCGCTTGAGGAGTTATCCGCTTCTTCCTTCTTAATGGTGGACGGCAAGACATGCAGCATTCGGCCCTAAGAGGCAAGACAGAATCTCTTCTAGAATACCTCTAGAAGCTAACAGGCCTGCAGACCCCCAAAGGAACCCTGGAGCTGAATGGGCACTCAAGGGAAGAGCCCAACCTGCTGTTGAGATAGGAAACCCACTAATACATCAGTGGCTCCGCATTCAGCCTCTGCTTTAAAAGAAAACAATAATTAAAAAAAAAGCATCTTTCGTGTAGAATCCCTATGCCAAGAGTCTGTTCCACTGTCAAACAGCGTGCTTCACCACCAAGCTCCTTGTGAGGCTTACTTGAAAATTGCTTTCCTACAGTACATTCGCATTCGTTCAGGTCTTACCCAAAAGAGCTCAACAAAAACATATCTGCTCCACTCTCTAAGCCAGTGGGCTTCCATCTCTGACCACCCACTTGCCTTGGACTTCAGTTGCTATCATTCCTGGTCAATGGCTGTTCTGCCATGTCTCCAAAACATCAGGATGGTAAAAGTAGCTTTCCAACTACCTGAAGATGACTCCCAACGGCCAAGGATTGGCACCCATTTATAAACAATATGAATAGGAGAGACAACAAAGGGCCTCCTCAATCCACAGAGATACTATTCGTCCATGCAAAACTATGAATGACTGAGATTTCCCCTCTTAGAGGCTAAAATTACTATGGTTTAAGTAACAAGTTTTAAAGATACTACATAAACGGGGTTGGGGCGAAGAGGGTGGGGGAGTGAAGCAATGAACGAAAAACACTAATAAATTAAAATATATGAAAACATATGAAACTAATTTTTAATATGTGTGCAAAATAAATAAAAAATATTAGCTGGGGGTGGGGGTGGGATGCGATCTGAAGATGACAAAATGATCTCTTCTCCAGGACAAATCTCTCCACCCAAATCCTTAAAACTGTTATTAAGGGGCCTCTTTTTAATCTCTAGCCTACACATTTTCCCAACATCAGCGTCTTTTCCAGGGAGTCTTCTCTTCTCAGGAGATGGCCAAAGTATTGGAGCCTCAGCTTCAGGATCTGTCCTTCCAGTGATCACTCAGTGTTGATTTCCTTCAAAATGGATAAGTTTGATCTCTTTGCAGTCCAGGGGACTCTCAAGAGTCTCCTCCAGCACCACAATATGGTACCAATATTTGTATTCATATCCCCAGGGATATCAATATAAATATCCCATATCTACAGTTAAGGAGAACAGAAGGAGGATAAAAAGGAAAAGGGTATAGAGGCTTGGAAATGCTTTTTCTTTCTCTGTTGCTTCTACAACCCTCTGGCCATCCATTCTCCCACAATAATGTTTACAGGTTCCATAATTAGTGTTACAAAATTGACTAGTAGGTCTGAGCTACCTCAGAGAAACCTTTAACAGAAGCAAAAAGGTTCAAGGTATTACAATGAACGGCATTAAAACCAGAAATTAAAAAGAAGACAGAAAAGAAAAAAAACAGCAGTAGTAGTACTGGGGGGGACGGGAATCCTAACTATCAGTGATTAGATGTTCACATCTAGTCTCTTGTGGACAAAAACAAAGGGCAGGGAAACTATCACTTATGAATTACAAAAATAAGCTGCTCCTGGAAGCTTCCAGCTGCTCTAATATTCTTTTAATGCAGCCACATGCAAGCTGCCCTCTTCCTTCCCTTCTACCCTTAAGAACCAGCCTGTGGCCTTAAAGTTGGCATCCAAGGCTTTGCGCTCCGGTTCCTCGTTAGCAGACATCCGGCTGGAACAATCCAGAGGCTGGTTGGAATTAAAGTCTCTCCGGATGAACTGTACCTGGAAAACCTGTCCATCCACTTCTGCAAAGGCCTTCACCGCATGCTCAGGAAACATGTAGGTGACAAACGCAAAGCCTTTGGGCTTCTTGGTCAGACCATCAATCGGGAAGTGGATCTCAGACAGAGGCCCTGCGGGAGACATGAACATCCGTAAGAAAAACCATGTAGCACCAGATGTGACCTTAAGTCCATCCCTACTTCCAAATCTGTACGTTGTTTAAAAGGGCGAGGGAGAGGTTACTGGGACCAGAGAAGGCTAGGAATGGGATCCAAGATCCTCTATGAATGGGTCCCAGAATCAAAGAATTGTAGCGCACGAAGGGATCCCCAAAGGTCATCAAGTGTAACACATTCCCTAAGGGGGAAAATCTGCTGCGGAAGCATCCATGACAGAGAGCCATCCAGATTCTGTTTAGAAATCTCCAGCGAAGGAAGGTCCACCACCTTCCATTCCAGTATTGAACAGCTCTTACCATCAGAAAAAGTCTTCCTAATGCTTAGTTAAAAATCTCTTTCCTTGGAATCTGAACCCAGCACTTCCAGGCCTCCCCTCCAACTAGCTTCCATCTTCCATGTGACATCCCCTCCAATATTTGAAAATGGCTGTCCTATCGCCTGTCAGCCTTCTCTTTTCCAGCCTAAACCATCTAGCGCCCTCAAATCATTCTTCACACGGCTCGGTTTACCATCTTGGTCTTCCTGAAGACTTTTTCAGCTTTTCATAACGTCAGATAAAAGGTTTCCCAAAACCCTGCTCTAAAAAACATTCAAAGCAATTGAGACAAAGACTGGAGAAAAGTTCGAGGGCGACTGACCGTATTTGGTAAACAGCCCTTCCAGGTCTTGCTCAGTGCAGGTGTAAGGCAGGTTTCGCACAAAGAGCCTTCCCGACTCAGAGAGGTCCTCCTCCTCTTCGTTGTCCTTCTTTGTTCTTTGCCAGGGCTGGGCTGGACTCTTCGATGAACGTCTCGTCTTTGTTGTGTTCTCCTCTGCAAACACCTCAATATATCGGCCGCCTGTCAAACACAGCACGGGGTGTGTGTGTGAAGAACACGGGACGGGGAGAGAGATGTCAGACGTTTAGCCACCCACTCCAGGGATCTTCCAAAGAGCATCTCGGTGGGAGAATGAGTGTGACGGGGTCACTGAGTTTGCAAAGCAAAACAGGGATTTGAACCAGGGATGTGTGAACACCCATCTGCTTTGATTCAGCACGAATCATTTGTCCTACCTTTGCTGCGAGCAATTTGCAGGCCACCCAATTCAATTTGCATCCAAATAATTTAAGCTGCTTGCATTTATTTGAATTTGTCAGAATAAAGAAAAAGCCTGAAGATGGGGGAGAACAAGGGCTTCAGGCCTGGGACACTCAGTGCCATCAACTACTGCTCAGGCTCTTACTGTGCAGGCAAAGTTCACACCTGCTTGCTTCCTTCCTCTCCACCTTCCTGGGAGCCATCCAAGTTACTCCTTAATTAGATCTTTCCCTTTTCATGCATTTTCTAGACACTGTCACCCAGTTGCCAATCACTGATGGTTCCTCTGACACAAAAGCAGCTGCCATGCCAGGCCTCTGTGCTTTCTTCCAGAAAGAGATATCCTCTTCAGTTTCTGAATAAAATCTGAATGAGCACACCTGTCATTTGAACCCAGCACCTTCTAGCCTAAGTCTGACCCTGTTGGCTAAATGGGCTGGGTGCTTGCTCTTACCACAACCTATGTTCATTTTAAAAAGTAGTACATAATATTACTTTTAATAATATTCTAAATATTGTGAAAAAAAATTTAAAATGTGTGAAAGGGGGCTGTGCTTTGCAGGCAAAGCAAATGTCATACAGAACTGTAACAAAACAGCAGGATACAAACCCATGTATTCACGATTCCGTTTCAATGCTTTCTGCACCTCTTCCGCACTGTTAAAATCAACAAACACATAGCCTGGGAAAGCAAAGAACAAAATAATGAAGAGAAGAACCTTATTAAGTGCGGCATCCACCACATAAAAACAGATTTAAAAATCTGGCAAAAAGCCAGCAAAGAATGGGGAAAACTTTCATATTAGGCTTTGAAATGTACAGTGCAAAATTGAAAAGGTCTACTCAAAAGTAAATCCCATTTGGTTCAATGGGGGTCAGTCCCAAGCAAGTATGCACAAGATTGCAGCCTGCAGAGAAACTCTTCCTGGGGGGATCTTGTTTTGCCTTCTTTCTGCTTTACTCAAAGCAAAAACACTAAATTTAGAGCAAGGATCAAGGACGTATCTGGCGCAGCCACATATGTCTGAAATATCCAGTTTAAAAAAGAAGGAGCACACAGACAGCATTTGAAAAGGAAGCACTTTGCAAATGGAAGAGGCCAGCTCTTACCTGTCTTATTTCCATGGGCGTTCCTTGCAAATCTGATTGCCACTGGCCGAAGCGGAACAAGAAACTCTCTCACATTTTGCTACGGACAAATGAAGGTCAAGTCATTTAATACAACAGGGCCTGCTATTACCCGAGTCTCATAAAAGTCATGCTAAACCTCCAACTCTTATCTCTCACCGCTGCCAACATGTGAGCAAACAAAGAACTGAGATTCTGCAGCGAATCCACATAGTTGGTGCAAATGAGTGCTCAACTGGGGCTTGACAAATCCAGGTTCTTCCCCCTTATTGAGTTCAGAACCACACCTTGAGCCAGAAATCTGTTCTCTCTCTCTCTCCTTGACCAACCTCAGGCCAAATGACCCTAGTACCGGCTTCTATCCGATTACTGAATAAAGCAGGGTGGGAATGATGTGACTTGTAGGTTTCTCCCTAAGCCATCTTTGTGGGGTTCGGAGCTCCCTGGACATTCACCAAGATAGGACAACTGCACCTCCAGTTGGAAAGATTCACCTCTAAAACATGGCATGGTGCGCCTTTATATGTATGCACACCTCTTATTTCAGCCAAAACTATGGATTTTCCCCCCAATCTGGAAAACTGGAGGGGGAGTTTAGTCAATGTGGAGGTCCCAGGACTGCAGAAAGTGTACTGAGACCCTCAAACGCACACCTCTTATTTCAGCCGAAACTATAGATTCCCCCCTCCAACCTGGAAAACTGGAGGGGGGAGTTTAGTCAATGTGGAGGTCCCGGGACTGCAGAAAGTGTACTGAGACCCTCAAATCTAGACCACCCCTGGGTAAAGGCTATAATTTCATCTCCATTTGTATTTCATATCATGCCATGTCAGGTAATGAAGGATCGTAAAGGATGTTTACCTCTGTGACATTGAATGGGGCACCCCGCAGCTTTACTGTGTACGGCGTGGTGGGCTCATTTGCACCGGCTGAAGTTTTCACCTGTAGCAAGCAAGACATAGGTACTCTCAGTCAGCAACCCTAAATCAAACAAGATCATAAAGTCTGAGATACTGTCAAGGACTGGACTGGGGCACACCTGGGAGGTGACTTTTGGCTTCTTGCCCTTTGCAATGATTCTCTGGTCGTCCAGTCCACACTCTGGCGTAAGACCTGAATCTGCTGTTTCGCTGTCAATTGGTTTATTTTCCTTCTTCTCATCCTCCTTTACTCCCTCCCTTGGCTCCTGATCACCCATCTCTTCATCATCACTCTCCTCTTCACATGAAGCTGAGTCCTCACCACTCTTCACCACTTTGGATCTCAGGTAGTCCATATCGGAGAGCTCCCGTCTGGAGGCCGCTTTTCCTTCCAAACTTCTCTCTTTCTCTGCCGGTTGGGAAGGAAAACCAAACAGTTATCTATCCTGCAGATTTAAAGTACCTATCTAAAAATACTAGATTTGATTAACCTGGGCTATATAGCTTAAGTATATTTTGCTTTTTCTACTGGTGTTTGAAGGGGGCAAGCAGCTTTGCAAAATTGCATTACCTTTATGACTGGGAATGCTATTTAGGCAACAGCCTCTCAAATTTGCCATCATGAAATTTCACGATGGGCACCAACTTGGAAGTCTTGGTAAAAGGGGGATGAGCATACACATAGGAAAATAAGTGGAGGAGCAGGAAAATTGGCATTACGCCATGCTGGGAATGCTTCCCTGTGTCTGCTGCCAGTTCCTTCTGTCCTTAGTTTCAATGATGGGCAGTCTACTCATCCACTCGCTTGTTGTCAGTCCCCGTGTCCCTGCCATACACATTTTGAGTGACCGTGTTGATGCATATTTCCCTCTAGTTTAAGAGAGAGCATATCTGTGGGGCAAAGGATGCGTTGGCATTCAGGTGCTGCTGGCAGCCTTCCCAGAGGCTACTGGAGAAACAGAATGCTAGAACAGAGAAGCCCTGGGTCTCATCCTGCATGACTCTTCCTAAGTTCTTTGCAAACCACTTCAGCCTCACTTTGCCCTCTCTTGCGACCATCTAGAGAGCTTATCACTCACCTGTCCAGTCTGGCACCAATGTAGCATCTACAATCTCCCCCACCCCACCCCACCCCTTTCTCTAAGTCTAGGAAAGGGGTAGAGCTCCTCTTTCTGGGCTCCCCCTGATCCTCAAAAGGGCGGCAATTTTTCTCTCCACTTTCCAATTACCCCACAATCTCTTGGCAGCAAGGGCAAAGCCAGATTAGCACTGGTCAGTAAGATCGAGGGGTCATCACCACACTTTATGTCAAATGTGCCCCTTCTGAGAGCTTGGGCCGCCCCCCACAGTCAAATTCCTCCCAGCCACCCGTGTCAGTTCTTCCCACAGGTCTCCTGACTCCTGCAGGCACGACAGGGGCCATGATTCACCTGTCCATCCGGCCTTGATTGTTTTGTCGAGGCAATTCCCCACCAGGTTGTGGGTGGGTTGTCTCGAGGGAAGGCCCCCTCCTCCCCTCTGCTCTCTCCCTCTCCTTCCGTATCTTCCGACTCCATTCCTGGCTCTCCTTTGCTCCCCAGTAGGAAGGTTTCCATGGGGGTGGGTTCTTGCCGCATCTTTCCACTTCTTCCCTTGGTGCCCTAACCACCCTTTCCCCACTTATGAGCTCAGGGATCTCAAGCCAGATCCGTCCTTGGTCCTTGCGGCAACTCTTTCACCTCCTGTTTCACTTCTCCAGTTCCAGCTTCCACCTCTCTTCCTCTCCCACGCCTCCTGTCGCCCTGGCTCCACTTGTTCCTTCTTGCCATCCCTCCTTCCTCTGCCCTTTCCCCTCTCTCGCCTTCTGTCCTTCCTCCTCTTTCTTCCTCTCCGCTCCAACTGGAGGCTTGCTCTTCTCTTCAGTTCCTGTCTTTTTCTCCTGCTGGTCTTGGGCTCCCTTCACCTTCCACAGCAAAGGGGACAGCGCTCGGGTGGGTGGGTGGCTGGGGGGTCTGATCCTCTTGCCCTCCTTCTCACACTCCACCTTAAAAGGTTTGCTATGCAACTTGTACGGTCCTGATTGGGCCTATAGTTTTTTCACATTGTGTTTATCGCTGTGGCCAAAAAAGGTTCAAGAATGGCTGCTCTAAAGCACTGGCCTGCATATAAAGAACACCAATGAAAGCCACCTCACTGGGGTAAGGGGTCGTAGCAATTACCTCCGGCGACTCCATCCTCTTGTCCTTGTTCTTCCTCGCTCAGGCTGCCCGATTCATCAGAATCAAAGTTCAGATAATCATCTGTTGACTTGGATTCACTCTTCTTGGGTTTCTCTGCTTTTGTGTCATTGGTCCACGTGGCCACCTGAGACCGTTTCTGGTGCACTGCCAGGAAGTCTTGGAAGGCCTCTTCTCCTTCCAGCTGAAGGAAAATGGTGGCAATGTGTTTTTTTTTGGGGGGGGGCAGAAAAGCAGGAAAGCCAAGTCAAGTCAGAGTTTATGCAAGGGACGCCAGCACCATAATTGAGCTTCGTATATGCAGAAGGACCCACGTTCAACTCCTAGTGCTACCAGTTAAAAGGATCACCTAGTGGCCACATAGAAGATTGGACCAAGGATAGCTCAGGACCTTCCAGTAGATCTCTGTCTGCCAGGGAGTAGACAGGCATAGATTTTGGACCACCAATTATTCTACAACAGCAGCTGCAAAACATCTCCCTGTTTGTACTGTCAAATTAGCAACAGAACAACAGAAGAGGATGTTTTCTGTAGAAGAATGTTTATTTATTTATTTATTGGACTTATATACCGCCCCGTAGCGCTACAAGCACTCTCTGGGCAGTTTACAATTTAATTATACAGGCTACACATTGCCCCCCCAGCAGCTGGGTACTCATTTTACAGAATGTTAGTGCCATCCAGTGTTGGTACCTCAAACACAAATTCCTGGGCTGTGAAAAACCTTTTAATTCTAAGTGTGTGCATGTATCAAAATAATGTCAGTCACACAACAACCACTTTGTTCGTTAGCCACCGTGACTACTGGGATTGCCAAAAGGAAAAAGGTTTCGGCCAACAAGAAGACAACATTTTACAGGTTTTGGAAGACTACCATTCCCATTCTAACTAAACCCAGAGTAACCCACAATTGTTGGTGCCATCCAGTGCTGGTACCTCAAATACAAATTTCTGGGCTGAGAAAACCTTTTAATTCTAAGTGTGTGCATATATCAAAATAATGTCAGTCACACAACGACCACTTTGTTCATTAGCCACCGTGACTCCTGGGACTGCCAAAAGGAAAAAGGTTTCGGCCAACAAGAAGACAACATTTTACAGGTTTTGGAAGACTACCATTCCCATTCTAACTAAACCCAGAGTAACCCACAAAGGTGCTGATTAGCCTGCTGAAATTTGGCAGAACAAGGACAGAGAGCTTAGCATTTCTTGTGTTGCTTTCCTATGCTCCGTTCAGAACAGGCTTTTGTCTGCTTGATGGGGAGGAGGAACACATTCATCTATGGAAGCACTATGACCGCTGTTCAGTTCTGGTACTCAAAGTAAATCTCTGTGATCACACCTATACGTATCTTCACCAAATTACCTGTATCCAGCATCTTGTTGGCTGAGGCTACCAAGCTAGTAGAGTAATACAGCACTCCCCCATTTAATCTCAATTTGTTATAACAAAAACGCTAAGGTGTCCATTATGTGTGCTTCACAGGGACCTCTGGAAAATCTGGGGTCCAGTCTAGTAACAAAAACGCTAAGGTGTCCACTATGTGTGCTTCACAGGGACCTCGTCTACCTAAAGGAGGGACACCGGACCTCTGGAAAATCTGGGGTCCAGTCTACCACTCCATCCTGGAGGTAGACTGGGCTTCTGGAACTACTGCCATCAGGCACAATGTTGCACTGTCCCATACAGCACTAATTTAGTAAGTGCTCCATTTTGTTGGCATACATTCTGAGCACAGAGAGGCAATTAGTGCCCTTCAGAGGATCTAAACTACAACTGCCATAGTCCACCACTGCCTATGCTAGGCTGGATTTATAGGAGTTGCAGTTCTTAATACCTGGAGGGCAACAGATGGTTTATCATTGGTCTAGGGTCACACCAGTCTTTGCCCATGAATTCCCAGTAATACAGTACATATATACACAGAGCAATTATGATAACTGGACATTAGTAGGGCCTTTTTTTTTCTTTTACAAGAGAATTGGACCACCACCCTTTTGGCAGAACAGACCTACTCAATGTCAGCTGTGTTGCTTCCAAACCATAGTGGCATGCACATATATGTTCTGGTAAGCTATCTCTTTGAGCAGCAAACTAACACGTGATTACAGATGGAAATACATATAGGTTCAGAGGTTCATTCCATTTTTTACATGCAGGGCCAGAGGTGCTGCGCATCCCCCCACCTCCTTGGCCAATGGCCCACTCACCATTTGGAGCGCGCTCCTCTCCTCCTCTTCAGCTGTTCATCCAGTCCTGGCAGGAGCTCAGGGTTGTTTGTCCCGACTCTTTGTCTGAGTGAGCCATCAGCCAAAGAGGCGGGATAGGGAAGCTGTGGTCCTGCTGGGGAACTGGTCAAACAGCCAAAGGGGAGGAGAGGGGCATATGTTCTGGTAAGCTATCTCTTTGAGCAGCAAACTAACACGTGATTACAGATGGACATACATATAGGTTCAGAGGTTCATTCCATTTTTTACATGCAGGGCCAGAGGCGCTGCGCATCCCCCCACCTCCTTGGCCAATGGCCCACTCACCATTCGGAGCGCGCTCCTCTCCTCCTCTTCAGCTGTTCATCCAGTCCTGGCAGGAGCTCAGGGTTGTTTGTCCGGACTCTTTGTCTGAGTGAGCCATCAGCCAAAGAGGCGGGATAGGGAAGCTGTGGTCCTGCTGGGGAACTGGTCAAACAGCCAAAGGGGAGGAGAGGAGCGTGCACTGGCTGCTGGTGGTGGGGCGGGGGAATCAGCCAGGGAGTCGGGGAAGGGAACTTAAGTTCATACCCATCTCTACCTATGATTTTCAACAATCTCAGTTCTATGGTTTCAAAGAATGATAGCCAAAGAATCAACTCCTCATCGCCTTGTGACAGTCAACATTAGGCGCTGCCGAGGATCAACTCCTCTCATTTATCTTTGCAAATAATTTACACTTACCTCTTTTAACACTCCTGTTTGATTGTTCTTCTTTTTATTCTGGAAAAGAATTGCGGTGGGAGGGGGGAGAGAGAAACAGAACTGCTGTGAAATGGCAAGTCAGATCCAAGGAAAACAAGAGAGTATTGCAAAAAGAAAATCTGTACTGTAAAGCAGTAACAAATCAACACATCATCTTACCTCCTTTGCATCTTTATGACCTGAACTTGTTATGGATTTTTCAGGAGGCTCCTTTACTGGTAGTGGCTTTTGGGAATGTTTGCTCCATGCTCTAGGTTTCAGAGGATCCCCAAAAGATTTACAGAACTCAACCTAAAAATCATCAACACCGGTATAGTACAGGTCAGCTGTAATTCAATGCTTAATTCAGAGAGAGTAGTGTGGAAAGGTGCTCCCTTCTTTTTCTTAACTTTACACAAACTTCTGAACCCAAAAGCTGAGAATATAATCATGATCTATACCACAAAAGTACATACAATTAATAAAACCATAGAAATAGTATGTCATAAAGTGACAGCTATAATTGCAGCTTAAACTAATTTTCTCGTTTGAACATAAAAGGGAAAATTTAGTTTAACAAACCTGGAAGTATTCCATTAATGGGCACAACACTCTGTTTTTGGTTTGATAAACCCCTGTTTATCAAATCAAGACTGCTACATCTATTTCTGAAGCTCTTCTCAAAAGCTACTGGATCCCAAGTGTTTCTTTACTGACCCAGAAAGCTAACTGCCAGCAACTTAAAATAAAATTAACAAACGCATGGGACATTTTGACATTACAATACATGTGAAAGGCATCTCACCGTAACTCTCGCTGTATCTATATAACTATTGTTGAAATGGCCCAGGGCCGCTTTAGCATCTTCTTCAGATTTAAATCCAATAAACCCAAATTTGCGGAACTTGCCATCCTTGGTGAATTTCAGAGTGCAGTCCGTCAGTGTCCCAAAAGCAGCAAAGAGGTTCCGGAAGCGTTCCTCTTTTATCTGGAGGAGAATGGAAAGGACTCCACTTGATTTACTACAATCACGACAAAAATGCTCACGTTAGGAGCATGGGCCATTTAGCAGATATATGCTTGGGGGGGGAGTTGGCAAAGCACCTAGACCCTATAGCACATACCTTGAAAACTCATGAAAAACAAAAACTAGTGAGTCTTACAGGTGCTACATTATTGCTTATGGTATAAACTGCCATTCCTCTTGGCGCTTCTGTTCCTTAAGAAAAAAAGCCCAAAAAACCCAGATCACTCACAAGCCAAAAAGAGGCTGGCATTAAAAAAAAAGTTGAGAAATCAGCCCTTATCTCAGAAGACACAAAGGCCATTTTTTGATTAAAAAAAAATAATAATGACAGGGAGAGAATGTTGGGAGCTGGAGAATTCCTGCAAGGGTCTTGCGGTCCTTGGGCTTCTGGAAATTACTCTCTCATGGTCTATATAGGATATATATGCAGAAAATCACACTTCAAGACAACCATAATATAATACAAATGAGCAAACATGCAGTCAGAAACTTTTCTTTCTAGCCTACACCTCCACACGTGTGGGAGGTAATGCTTCCTGTGATCCTGTCCATATTACGCAATGATCATGACTAACAGCTATTGATAAAACACACATTCTACAAATTTATCCAAGGCCCTTTTATTTGTTATAGTTACGCAAACCGGGAGCCAACTGCACCACCTTTTAGGTGTGAATCTCGTGTTTTGTGTGAAACGATTCCCTCATCTGTCTTGTGTTTTATACACTTTTCAGGAAAAAAAGCTCGCTGTTCCAGATGGACGAGCGAGGAAGAAAAAGTTCTCTCCAGTTTACATGGTTTGGGTAGATTTTCCACTTCACACAACCCGACCCCAGATAAAACAGCTCCGCAGCCCCCGACTGTTCCTGCCATCTCTCTACCTGCGGGTGCTCCTAGCATTCCTGCTCCCCAGTTCTTCGCCACCCTCGAACACCCCCATCCCCCCCAACACACACACCCCGACTTAAATAACGGAGTCGCTAGAGCGACCCACAGAAACGGGGCCCCCGGGCCACGTCCACCCCCGCCTGCCTCGCGTCCCCCTCTTACCCCGTTGGGCAGGTTCTTCACGATAAGTCGCGACATAGTGTAACAACGACAGTCTCGCGGTTTAAGGGAGGGGGAAAACGATCAGAAACAGTCACGCCGCTCCATGGGCGCCGCCATCTTGAGCCAGCGTCCAGTGCGATCACGTGACGCAGGGGGGGCCTAGTCCTCCGCGCCTGCGCACTTGGAGGGGAAGGCGAAGAACCTGAGCTAGAATCGCCCAAAGAGGATAGAAAACTCAGCGAGTTCTTCACAACACTTCCGGTTCCTTCTTCGTGGCCTCTCTGAGAACGAAGGATTTTCTGAATCGTTCTGAGAGAGGCAGTTAATCGCTAAAATATATATTCACTCACAGCCTATCAAACACATATTTAACCACAATGTTAAATATAAGGCCTTTGCCTTCTTTGGTTCTGCTGGTATATGAAGTTGCATTGATATGCTTTCGACCATTATGATGTTGCCTTTATTCACTTGCTGTCCTTTGCCTTCACAGAGATCCATCCCTGGCGCGGCGCAGTGGATGGAGGGATGGACGGGCTTTGGCTCCGTGGACTCTCACTGGGTGATGGGGATGGAAGAGGCAAAAACGCTGCTCAAGTACCTCCCATGCTTTCGAAGCCCTATAAAGATTGCTTTGGGGCCCTTCCGACTTGGCAACACATCATCCATATCACAGGGTCTTCATATCTGGGGCTCGTATCGTTTTCATTTCATCCTTGCAATCAACCTGCGCATTTTTTTAGGCATCCTATGGTATCGTGCTTTGTATGGAGGACTTGGAACAGCGTCTAGTGTGGCTAAGGAAGCTGATTCGAGAGTAACCATCCCTTCCATACTGAAGACAAATACAATCTGTCCCCTGTCCGGCTCCCTGATTTTTCTGCTTCCGGGACTTGCCTCTTTGCCTCAGCCTGCTGGACAAGGGTCTCTTCAAAATGGGAGACGCCATGATGCATTGCCTGCCTCCAGGCTGAATGCTCAGATGTCAGGGTTTCCCATCTGTTGAGGTCTATTCCCAAGGCCTTCACATCCCGATTGCAGATCTCCTTGTATCATAGCTGTGGTCTCCCTCTGGGCCAATTTCCCTGCACTAATTCTCCATATGGGAGATCTTTTGAAAGCCGACCATCAGCCATTCTCATGACGTGCCCAAACCAACGTAGACGTCGCTGTTTCAGTAATGTATACATGCTGAAAATTCCAGCTCGATCTAGGACTACTCTATTTGGAACTTTGTCCTGTCAGATGATACCATAACTGCATTGGAGAAACACACATGGAACGTGTTCAGCTTCCTCTCCTGCCGTGCACAAAGGGTCCAGGACTTGCTGCAGTATAGGAGTGTGCTCAGGACACAGGTTCTATAGACCTGGATCTTGGTATATGTCGTCAGCTTCTTATTAAGCCATACACTCTTTGTGAGTCTAGAGAACATAGTGGCTGTTTTGCCAGTGCATTTATCCAGCTCAACATCTAGGGAGAGTGTCTCAGAGATGGTTGAGCCAAGGTACACAAAGTCATGAACAACCTCCAATTCTTGTGTGGAGATGGTAATGGAGGGAGGTGAGTCCACTCCTGAAAGGCAGGTGGCTTCATCAGCAATGCAGATGGGAGAGCAGGGGGGGGGGCTGTAGAGCCATTCATTCAGAGGGTCTCCAGATGGTGGAAGGCTGTGTGAAGGGCATGTTGTATACAGAAGAATATTTGGACACACCATAGGGCAACAGGGCTGTCTGACAAGAATGCTTGGAAAAGCTGAAGGCAGCAGGAAAAGAGGAAAACCGAATATGAGCTGAATTGACTCCATAAAAGAAACGGTGCCAAGGGTTCATTGGAAACAGCTTGTAGACATGGAAAAATGAAAATGATATTAAATTAGAAGATTGGTATAATGAAGTATGGGACATTGCATTGAATGATAAATTGATTACTGAACTTAAGATGAAAAGAGGGGAAAGAATTTCAAATATTTTTCATGCTATTTGGAGTAAATTTGTTGAATTTGTGTTAATGAAAGGAAAGGGGAAAGCCTCTAAACAATCAATACAATTTTGGAAAGGAAGTTCGTATTAAAAGTATTGTTCCAAGGGGTCCCGTGGGCATGGGGTGCACGGTGGTTTAGAGTGTACGGTAGGTAGTTGTTTGTATTTGTTTTTGTCTTGAAAACTTTGGAAAAAAATAACAATTAAAAACCAGAAGGACACGGTTGAAGCAAACACAACATCAGCTGTTAGAAAGGGGGGAAAAACAACTTGATGGCACCGAGCAAGAAATGGGGAGCCCCCACCTCCACAAAGGCCCAACTGTTGTGTATGTGTTGGTGTGACCACAGTAAAGAAAAGCAGGAAGGAGGTATTGCTTGAGCTTAAGAAATTTGCTAATTCCCCGGAACTCTGAGCAGTAAAGGGTTACGGATTTGAGTTTTGGACTACAACTCTGGGATCCAAACCTCCATTTCTACAGCATCAACTTTGTGAATTCTAGAACCTGAAGTGCCAAAAACACACACGGGTACACCTCTGCCAGCCAAAATGGGCACAACCATTGTTCGGGAACTTTAGGAGCTGTAGTCCACCATAGAACCAGTTCCAAACTACGGTGTTCAGCTGAGAACTGCTAACAGAGGTTGGCTGTAACTGTACCTTATTCATTCTTTTTCTTAGCCCTGTCAGCACCTGTATTTTTGTGTTACTTTTGTTTAAAAGTACCAAGAATGGGCAGCAGATGGTGCTCGAAGCTCCTCAAAACTCAAAGTGTAGGACAAACTAAGCAGCAGGATAACTAGCCATAAGAGAAGAAAGCTGAGAAGGGGAAAAATTGATTCATCCAAAATATGGTGCTCAAGGAAAGCTTTAGGGATGCTGTGGGTCACCAGAAAGATAATAAGGGGGTCCTATATCAAATCAAGACTGAACAAGTTGGAGGCAAGAGGAAAAGAGGAAGGCCAAGCATGAGATGGATTGAGCCAGTAAAGGAAACCATGGCCTCAGATCTGAAAGAGCTGATCAGGGATATTAATGATAAGAGATTCTGGAGGTTATTGTTTTGTAAGGCAGCCATGACATCAAAGGGAGCTTGACAGTAGGTAACAGTAGCAATAAAAACAACAGATGTTTGTGGTTCGGGAGGGGCTGCAAACATCTGCTTCTTTCTCACCACCTGAACTGTCGGAGTGGCCTTGAGCCAGTCCCTCTTTCTCAAACCTGACCTACCTGGCAAGGCCGCTGGTAGAGCCTGAAAATAAAGTGTTGATTTGAACATACTAACGGTAAACTTCTTTGCTTTTGCCCCCAAATGAAATGAACGGGGTGAATAGAATCACAGAGTCATAGAATAATGATGTTGGGAGGGACCTAGAAGGCCATTCAGTCCAAGCCCCTGCTCAGTGCAGGAATTTAGATCCGAGCAGATCTGACAGAAGGTGGTCCTTTTTTCTCCTGAATGCCTCCAGCGTTGGAGTGCTCACTACCTCCCAAGGTCATGCGTCGTACTGTTCTAACAGTTAAGAAGTTTTTTCCTGATTCAGCTGAAATCTGGCTTTCTGTAGCTTGAGCCCATTATTACATGTCCTGCACTCTGGGATGATTGAGGATAGATCCTGCCCCCTCCTCTGTAGGACTACCTTTGAAGGATTTGAAAAGTGCTATCCTATCTCCCCTCCATCTTCTTTTCTTCAGACTAAGCAAATGTAGCTGCTATAAAATGACTATTTTAAAAGCAGCATTAAAAAATTTTCTGTTGCTAAATATCATTTTTGCTATGTTCTCTCCATAGAGAACGTAACATGTACACACTTTTGCTGGAAATAATCATGCAAGAGAAAGGCTGGGATTTTGCTGACTAGTTCTTTTTCCCTGCAATCGCTTCTGGCAATATTCTGCTTAAAGAGTTTGTGAAAGCAATAAAATAATTATGGGCAAAGCCAGTATTGTTGAGGATAGAGAAATCACTGTTTGTAAATGAAATTTTGTGTTCAGAGGGCAGTCCACACCAATTTTACTTTCCAAACATATTACACCTTAATAACTCAGTTAATAATGGCATCTTGGGATATGCAGTCTGATAAGAAGAATACACCAGATTGAGGACTTCAGTTTAAGAATTTTTAAATCTCTCTGTTTTAACCATTTAAATAGTAAATTAATGATACAAATTCACTCAGTTAAAATGTTAACAATTTTAACCCTAAAAAGTTAATTTCCAAACTCTTGTTGTGATTATGCCCCTCTTCCCCCCTTCATCCTCATATGTATTGCCTTGAGCTTATTGTAGAAAAGGGGTGGAATCCATGGATGGATTCATTAATCACTGACCGAAACCCAATTGTTGTAACTTTATGCTGGGCAATGTAGGATGATATATCATCTAGTAGTAGGCATCCTTCAGTCTCGAAAGACTATGGTAGCGTGCTCTGGATGGAGGACTTGGAACAGCGTATAGTGTGGCTGAGGAGGCCAATTCGAGAGTGACAATCCCTTCCACACTGGAGACAAATCCAATCTGTCCCCTGTCCAACTCCCTGGTTTTGCTTCCTTTGTGACTTCCTCTTTGCCTCAGCCTGCTGGACAAGGGTCTCTTCAAATTGGGAGAGGCCGTGATGTACTGCCTGCCTCCAGGCTGAACGATCAGATGTCAGAGTTTCCCATCTGTTGAGGTCTATTCCTAAGGCCTTCAGATCCCGCTTGCAGATATCCTTGTATCGCAGCTGTGGTCTCCCTCTGGGGCGATTTCCCTGCACTAATTCTCCATATAGGAGATCCTTAAGCCCACCAGTAATATTTAACTTAATTTAAAGCTTCCTCTCCATCTGACTTCAAGTTCTGAGGCTCTCTAGAGCTCCCTTTCAGCCTGGGAAGTTTTGGGGAACCTCAGAACTGAGGTGCATGTATTAATGGCTAAAAATTACTGCCACATCAATGACAATGATCCTAATCCCAGTGGCAGGACCAATAAGTCAAGATTAGGCCAAGTCAGAGAGGCCCACACTAATCACTCAGCCACACTGCTCAGACTTTTCTGGTGTGTGTAAACTCCAGGAGGACCAATTGTGCTGATGGCTGGGGGGTGGTGGATATTCTTGCCTGGTCCCCTGGCAACACCTTATTTCACCCAGGCTAAGTAGTGCTTCAAGGACTTAGCAAAAATACACAAGTTTAAGCACTTT